CCTGCACGATCCCACCATGACTGGCCGGAACTCTGGATACCCTCCCACGCATACCGCTCATACTACCCCTGCTGACCCCCACGCTATGGACATTGATGCAACCCACACCAGTAATGGGAATACTAGGGAAGCATTCCTAGCTCGCATGCGAGGACGATGCTTCGGCTGCGGTGCCCAAGGTCATGTCAAGCAAAACTGCCCACACCGAGAAACCACCTGCCGCTACTGTGGACGTCGAGGACATCTGGAAGCAGTCTGCCAAGACAAATTCATGGGACTCGGACGAGACCGAGGCCGACGCCAGCAACCTCGACGCCAACAGATATCCGCTACGGGACCCGCGCCATTCTCCCTATTCCCAAACGAATCCGTCCAAATCGCGTCCTCGACCCCAACATCTGCTCCTGCACCCGTAGCTGCTACTCCGAGCCCCCCTAACCAGGACTTTTCCAATCAGATTGGTCAAATAAGGGAATTACTTGATCGTGCTAACGCTATGTCCTCCTCGTCCTCTGGCTTTCAACAGGGTTTTTAAAGAGGGTACCCGCTTCGGCTGCACCGAGAGTACCCCGTAATCAGTTTGTTATGTTCGCTACTTCCTCGTATGACTCGCACCCATCATGTACAATATCGTCGATTCGGGAATTAAACTCTACTTCCCCACATTTCCGAATTCATGCGAGACTAAGAGGAAGGAATCACAGTATAACAACTGCAGCCATGGTAGACTGTGGAGCTACCGCCCTGTTTTTAAACCAAGACTTTGTCACCCGGAACCATGTAAGATGTGCACCCCTCCATAAACCAATCGACGTTTTCAATATCGATGGAACACCTAACCGAGCTGGACGGATAACCCATTTTGCACGTCTAGCACTCACAGTGGATAATCAAGAGCGATGGATGGACTTTCTGATCACCAACCTAGGAGGTGAAGACATCATCCTTGGACTCCCCTGGCTACGGAAGGTAAATCCGGAGATTGATTGGGAGAAAGGACGACTTTCAGTAAAGCCTCCTCGAGTAACGATAGAAGAAGTCCCAGACGAGGAGATCTTGTACTCTCATCTAGCCGCCACTCACACAGAAACCCCGATCCTCGAACTCCCGGAACTGGAACCTCCTGCAGAAAACCCCCACATTGAGGTGCCACTAGAAGCGACCCTTGAACCGAGTGAATCAGCAGCGGTGGAAGAACCACCAATACACCGAATTCGAGCCAATCATAAAACTCGCCGGGCATGGGTAAAAGCAGGAATTCTAGAGGAACAGACGGAGGAAGTCTGGTGCGCCGCAGGATTCACTTACTCCCAGCAGCTAGCAGAGGAAGCCAACCGAGACAAACCCGTTAAAACCTTTGAAGAAATGGTCCCTGAGCAGTATCGTGATTTCAAGAAGGTTTTCTCAGAATCTGCCTCCGAACGATTACCTGCCCACCAACCTTGGGACCATGCAATTGATCTCGTACCTGGAGCACCGGCAACCATGCGTACCAAGATTTATCCCATGTCCCTAAACGAGCAGGAGGAGTTGGATCGTTTCCTAGAAGAAAACCTACGGAAAGGCTATATCGTCCCCTCAAAATCACCAATCTCATCACCGGTCTTCTTCGTAAAGAAGAAGGATGGGAAACTCCGTTTCGTACAAGACTACCGGAAACTGAACGAGTACACTGTGAAGAACCGATACCCTCTCCCATTAGTTGCTGACATCATTAGCCGACTTCAGGGAGCCAGATACTTCACGAAGTTTGATGTCCGCTGGGGTTACAATAACATACGGATTAAGAAGGGGCATGAATGGAAAGGCGCGTTCGCAACAACCCGAGGCTTGTTCGAGCCTAAGGTCATGTTCTTTGGTCTCACAAATTCCCCTGCCACATTCCAAGCACTTATGAATGCTATATTTGCTGATCTCATTGCAGCCGGCAAGGTGGCAGTCTACCTAGATGACATCCTTATCTTCAGTAACGATCTCGAGGAACACCGACAAATGGTACGGGAAGTATTAACTCGGTTAGAAAAGCACGACCTCTACCTACGACCAGAAAAATGCGAATTTGAACAACAACAGATTGAATACCTCGGACTCATCATCTCAGAAGGGGAGGTGAGAATGGATCCGGTAAAAGTAGCGGCTGTTCGCGACTGGCCAGTCCCTACTAATCTTCGGGAACTACGAGGGTTCTTGGGATTTGCAAACTTCTACCGACGCTTTATCCGGAATTTTGCCAAAATAGCATGACCTCTGAACGACCTGACGAAGAAAGACACCAGCTTTACCTGGACCGACACTCGACAGAAAGCATTTGATACCCTTCGAGAAGCCTTCATCTCCGCACCGATCCTTGCTCTATGGACACCAGACAGGCCTACTCGAATTGAGGTAGACGCATCAGGCTTTGCCACGGGAGGCGCCCTTATGCAGAAGCAAGACGATGGCCAATGGCATCCGGTAGCCTTCAGATCGGCATCCATGCAGCCAGCGGAACGGAACTACGAAATCTAAGATCGAGAAATGCTTGCTATCATTGAAGCACTGAAGGATTGGAGGAACTTTCTAGAAGGACTCCCTCAACCATTCGAACCTCGAATTCTGGCGCACTGCACAAGACCTCACCCGCCGACAAGCCCAATGGGCCCTCTATCTGTCACGGTTTGACTTTCATATGATCCACCGCCCTGGCAGAGTAAACACCCAAGCTGATGCTCTCTCCCGCATGGCAGTTCATCATGTATCGGACAGCGATGATAACCGACAACAGACAGTCCTTAAACCTGGCCACTTCGTAAAAATTGCAGCTTCGATCCTACAGAACCCCTTAGAGGATCGTATCCGGAAAGCCTCAGAACGGGAGGCACAGGTATTGGAGGGTCTCAAAACAGTCAAAGAGCACGGACTACAGCGCTTGGCCAATGGGATAGCCGAATGGGAAGAAGACAATGGGTTGGTCTACTACCGAGGTCGAGTATACGTACCAGCAAACGACGACCTACGCACTGAGGTACTCCGTCAATGCCACGACAATCCAACTGCAGGACACCCCGGACTACACGGGACACTCGACTTGGTCAGTACCCATTTCTGGTGGCCTACGTTGCGCTCTTTTGTGGAAAAATACGTTGAGGGATGCGAGGTTTGTGCCCGTAAGAAGATCCAGCGACACCCACGGGCCGTAACTCAACCATTAGATGTACCATCCGGTCTATGGGAAGAGGTAGGGGTTGACCTGATAACACAGCTACCTAACTCCCAAGGCTACGATGCTGTCTTGGTTTGCACAGACCTGTATGGAAAACAAATTCACGCCATTCCTTGCACCAGCTCCATCACAGCCGAAGGCGTTGCCGATATTTACTACCGAGAGATCTTCCGTCTCCATGGTCTTCCTCTTCACTTTAAATCCGACCGCGGACCCCAGTTTGCAGCTAAACTCATGCGATCCCTTCTCGCTAGGCTAGGAATTAAATCAGATCTAACCTCCGGATACCGTCCTCAGTCTAATGGCCAAACCGAACGAGCAAATCAGGAAGTAGAGAAATACATCCGCCTCTATGTAGGACGACGACAAGATGACTGGGCAGAGCACCTTCCCATGGCGGAGTTTGTGATTAACTCACGGACTCATTCTGCGCTAGGCATGTCCCCGTTCGAGCTAACCTACGGCTATCTTCCCCTGTTCAATATCCCAGTGGGCCAACGCAGCGGTATTCCAGCTGTGGATGACCATATACGGATTCTCCGAGAAGCGTGACAAGATGCCGGAGCTGCCTTACACCTAGGAAAGAAACAACAGAAGGAGGGATACGAACGCGGGAAGCGGAAAGCTCATCAATTTAAAGTTGGAGACCTAGTCTGGCTCAGTGCGGAGGACATTAACCTTCAACTTTCCAGTGAAAAGTTAGGAGATCGACAGCTTGGCCCTTATCACATTCTGGAGAAAATTGGCCCTTTAGACTACCGCCTTGACCTTCCCCTATCCCTAGATCGCCTCCATCCCGTCTTCCACGTCGATAAACTATATCCCTGGAAAGGTAACTCCATTAATGGCGAAATACCAACACCACCAGAGCCGGTATACTTAGAGGATGAAGACGAACCGGAATACGAAGTAGAGGAGATCTTAGACAGCCGGGTTCGATGGAAGAAGTTGGAATATTTGGTTAAGTGGAAAGGTTACGACGCAGGGCACAACTCTTGGGAACCCGCAGCCAACTTCAGTCGCGCACCAAAAATTGTTCGGGCCTTTCATAAAAAACACCCAACAGCGGCAAAGCCTTGACCATCGAGGGCAATGGTCATAAGGAGGGGGGTAATGTCATAAAGTATGCAGCCCCTATCATTTTCCTTTTCTCACCGTCTCGACGCCTTTACTTGTACGATACATCATCCCATCACTGTCAAACCCCCATCGATTACTGATCCACCTGACCCATCTTCTCCTTCTATTGGCTTCCGCCACCTTCCTTGTTCCTAAACTGTACAGTATTACATCGTTGTTTCTCGCAGACCGGATTATGTATATATAGCCAACCCTCCACAGCCTGGTCCCTTATCTTGACCTCTCTGTCATTATCTGGGACCAGGTATGTGCTTACTTATTATTACCTATGACTACGATACTCAATATATCTCTGTCATTATCTGGGACCAGCCTGCCGCCGTTCTGCTTAGTCGCTCCGCTTTGTTGCCTTGTCCAGTTGCTCTGCCTCACCGTTCTGCTTAGTCGCTCCGCTTTCCCGCTCCGTTAGTCACTCCGCCTCTGCCGCTTCGTGACAACGCCCATAAAGGTATTTACTCTTAACTCTGAGTCAATAATAGAAACTTACTTTGCTTTTAGGTGCTACTGCTTGGATGGCACAATACTGGGAAGAGAACCACAAAACCCCTCCAATGCTGCTCATGAACAAGGATAATGCAGCAGCTGCAGAATCTGGAAATGCAAGTGAGAAGGCACGCATCGAGAAGGTCTCCTCGCGTGGTGGTGTTAAGCTAACGAGTTGATGGGACTCCTACTGAAGCATAACAACAGCAAGAAAGGTCAACAGGATCGTCACGGCATCTATTTCGAAGCCCGTGAACACGTCGGATTCTTCATACGGTTTCCAGATACTTCGAACACGTGCTATCAATTACATTGTGATGCTGCAGCAGAAATCCTTGTTCACTTACCTGTCTATCGTGAAATGCTCAAATTTATTCGCAATGAAAAGGTCTCTGGAAAGTTTAATCATCTAGAATATAATGTTTATCAGGCCCTCCATGATATCCCCACTCTTACCGAGCTTGCTGGACAGTGCATCACTTTTCCTTACCTCCGAGTTATCCGATGTGCCAATATGAACCACCTTGACACTGGACCGATTCACAGATCCTTATTGGCACACCTGGAGAAAGTTCGATCAAATCCTAAACTTCTCTGTGGCCCCAATGCATCATATACCACAGGATCACTTGATGGGCAGCCTTGGGAACATCCTGAGGCTGTATATTCTGTTTTGGCCCTATCTTTGCAGCTTCCTGATCAGCATGGTATTGTTATTTACCTATTCGAGGGTGCTGTCATATGCATGCAATTCACCCATACGCTTCCCGGCCCGGCCCGGAGCGGCCAGACTTCGGAATAATAACCTTGTGACCATCATTGTATTTATTTATTGTTCCGAGCTTTCATCGAGGTCTTCTGACTGTATTTGGGATGTATATAAGCTAGAATACTTTGTACGTTGTAGTCAAGCTTGAAATCAAGTGTACCATCTTATCCCAGTCTTTAATATCTTCTTTACCCTTTGCTCCCGGACTCCCGGATCATCAGGAACCCCATTTAGGCTGCTCATCCCAATCTTGCACTCTTGCCATAATTCCCGGGGACACCAACAGTGTGTGAAGGGTGTTGCTAATAGCTTCACCGACGTCCCACTCCCAGTGTGTACTACAGGCCAATACTCAGTTCCGGACCTCGGAGTTATCCCGGGCCATTCCCGGGCCAGATCCGGCCTCAGAACCTCTATAGCTATTGACCTGTAGGCACGGTCTTGTCAGGTGCTATCAACACATGGACTTGATTCTGCACAGAAATCATTGGCCGCAACCTATCTTCCAATTTGTCCAACCAGCTTTATATTCCATCAACAAACAATTACAATGAGAGTGCACTTTCTGACTTAAGCCAAATGAAAGTGAGAGCTCCAAACGCAACATTGGATTGGACAAATGCATGTATGACATTGAAGCGGAATCAGACAGGTGATTTTGTAAGGACAGATATGAATACTCTAGAAGCACAGACTTTTCTTTGAGGAATGGAGAGGGCTGAAGAGGCAAAGGGGAATGAAAAAAAGCGACGGAAACTGATTGCCAGTACTTCCCAGAAGAAAGTTGCCTACCATTGACAGATGTGACACAGATGCATAACCTTCTTGATGGGCTGTGTGATAATCCAAGGGGCGATGTGATGGTGACATCAAGGTTACTGAGCTTGAATTACAGTTGGATTGGCATCGGGATCACGAGCAGAGAGCTGGGAAGACAGACCTGTCAATTAGACCCACTTTAAAACTAGGGAATAAAGTAGCAAAATTAGAGCTTCTCTTGACAGTTGTTGAAGCTTGGAACATAGAGCGGGGTACAGATGCGGCATATATGTCAAGTAAGCAGGAGGAAGAAGATGCAGATGGCAAGGAAGATCTAGAAAAAGATTCGGAGGTAAATGATATAGGCTATACACATGAATACTTGGAATCCACTATATTTTCATAGTTTGAACTATTCTCAATAATCATATTGACTAGCTCACATATATTTCAATGTATTTTACTTGTCATTAACGTGTATATACAGGATGATTACCTTGATTACCTTGCGTCCCATTGTTAAGCCAGCTTTGACCAGATAACAGACAGAGCCAAACAGACACGGAATTAACAGGCATTGCCGGTACTCATTGCTTACATAAATGCTCGGTTGTGCATGTGATTGAGAATTGAGAATCATTTCTCATGTTTACTTTTTCTTGAATTTTAGAATTTCACCTTCTCGCCATGAACGCGCTTATCACCAAAGCTGGCACTGCTCAGCCCCTCCCTAAGCTGCTGAGTTGTTGAACAATCCTTGGTTTGTGGGTGTAGAATGAGTAGACTTTACATAGATGTTTTACCTACATACTAGTTCAGTTATCACCGCAGAGACTTTGAAACTCCCGCATCAGGACACTAAATTTGTTGGTGCTCTCTTAAGGCTTGGAGCATGAGCATTGAGGGCTTGCTACTGACAATGACAGAAAGTTCAGCATGAAAAAACTAAGAAATTCAAATTGCGCATATTTCTTGAATTTCCTTCTTGTCACGAAGTGGCAGAGTGTCAAGTCCATGCCTTGGGCCTCCATTCCGCCGCTTGGTATTCCGAAGATCCACCTTTGTTGTAATCTCTCCTTATTGTTCTTTCTCGCTACACATACCCTTTCGTTCTAGTCCCTCCTTATTGTCTTTTACTTTACCCTGCAGGTACTACTTGTATAGCTCCTAGTAGTTAGTCTGGCGTTCCGCACCAATGCACCGCTCCGTAGATATAAATACTGTCTGTACGCTACTGTGGTTCCTCAGTTTAATCATCAACTCAGATCTCCCTTCCCAACTCAGTCCTTCTCTAAGTCTTCAGGCTCAATGCCTTGAAGTACGTTCTACTCCACCTTAGGACTTATACATTCTTTGGTTCACTCCTCATCACCGGTGATACCGCCGCTCCGACTTGGCTGCTACTCAGCTCCTCTCTTCTATACTCTCGATCTCCGGGGACTAACGGCGTAACGGCGGTGTTGTTAATAACTTCACTACTGTCCCACTCGACCTCCCGCTCTTAGACACCTTGTGGCCTCTGGCACAGTTACATGGTGTACATAATCTTAACACAGAGGCGGAGTGACTAGCAGAGCAGGAAAGTGGAGTGACTAAGCAAGGCAATGAGGCGGAGCAACTAAGCAGGTCAGTGAGGCAGAGCGACTAAGTGGAGTGGAGGTAAACTGGTCCCAGATAATGACAGAGATATATTGAGTATCGTAGTCATAGGTAATAATAAGTAAGCACATACCTGGTCCCAGATAATGACAGAGAGGTCAAGATAAGAGACCAGGCTGTGAGGGATTGGCTTAATATACATAATCCAATCTGCAAGAAATGACGATGTAATACTGTACAGTTTAGAAACAAGGAAGGTGGCGGAAGCCAGTAGAAGGGTAATAGATGTATCAGTAATCAATGATGGGGATCAGGTGGATCAGTAATCAATGGGATTTGACAGTGATGTAATTGTACAAGTAAGGGCGTTGAGATGGTGAGAAAAGGAAAATGATAGGGGCTATGTACTTCATGACAGAATGTATTTTTTTACTTCTTGGTTGGCGCGTTCAGCTTGACCATTAGACTGAGGATGGTACCCGGAAGTAAGATCTGATTTTATTCCCAGTCTAGCAAGTAGGGATCACATGAGTTTGGCTGCAAACTGAGGCCCATGGTCAGACTTGAAGTGAAGAGGGAGCCCATGAAGGCAGAAGATTTCTTTGTAGTAGATGTCAGCAACTCCTTCTGCAGTGATGGAGCTGGTACATGGGAGGGCATGAATTTGTTTCCCATAGAGGTCCGTGCAGACTAGGACTGCATCGTATCCTTGGGAGTTAGGTAATTGCGTTATCAAGTCCACCCCTACCTCTTCCCATAGCCCCAAGGGTGCGTCTAGTGGTTGAGTTACAGCTCGTGGGTGTCTTTGGATCTGTTTGCATGCGCACGTCTCGCATCCCTCTACATACTTCTCCACAAAGGAGTGCAGTGTTGGCCACCAGAAATGGGTGCTAACTAGATCGAGTGTTCCATGGAGCCCAGGGTGTTTAGCAGTGGGATGGTCATGACATTGACATAGTACTTCAGTGTGCAGGTCATTGTCTGCGGGCACATACACTTGTCCTCGGTAGTAGACCAGACTGTTGTCCTCTTCCCATTCAGCGATTCCATTGGCCAAGCATTGTAGTCTGTGCTCTTTGACTGTTTTAAGACCTTCCAATACCTGTGCTTCCCGCTGTGAGGCTTTCCGGATGCGATCCTCTAAGGGGTTCCATAGGATAGACACTGCAATTTTGGTGAAATGGTTGGGCTCAAGGACTGTCTGCTGTCAATTATCCTCGTTGTCTAGTACCTGGTGGGCTGCCATATGGGAAAGAGCATCAGCCTGAGTGTTTATTCTACCAGGGCGGTGGATCATGTGGAAGTCAAACCGTGAAAGGTATAGAGCCCAGCGAGCTTGGCGGTGGGTGAGGTCTTGAGCTGTGCGCAAAATTCGAGGTTAGAGTGATCAGTGATGATGTCAAATGGCTGGGGTAGTCCTTCTAGGAAGTTCCTCCAGTCCTTCAACACTTCTATGATAGCTAACATTTCCCAGTCATAGATCTTGTAGTTTCATTCTGCTGGTTGCATAGAGGCTGATCTGAAGGCGATGGGATGCCATTGGCCATCATTTTGCTTCTGCATGAGGGCACCGCCGGTAGCAAAGCCTGAAGCATCTACCTTGATTCGGGTTGGTCTGTCCGGTGTCCATAGGGCTAGGATGGGTGCAGAGATGAAGGCCTCTCGGAGGGTATCAAATGCTTGTTGTTGGGTGTCTATCCAGGTGAAGGGTATATCTTTCCAAGTGAGGTCGTTCAGGGGCCTGGCTATCCTTGCAAAGTTCCGGATAAAGCCCCGGTAGAAGTTAGCAAATCCAAGGAACCCTCGTAGCTCTCAAAGGTTAGTGGGGGCTGGCCAGTCGTGAACTGCAGCTACTATTACCGGGTCAATCCTCACCTCCCCTTCCAATATATCAAGGCCTAGATATTCAATCTGCTGTTGTTCAAATTCGCACTTCTCTGGTCGTAGGTATAGATCATGCTTCTCCAACTGGGTTAGTACTTCCCGTACCACTCGTCGATGCTCCTGAAGATCACTGCTAAAGATGAGGATATTGTTTAGGTAAACCGCTACCTTTCCAGCTGCAATGAGGTGTCAAGTCCATGCCTCGGGCTGACAAGACCGTGCCTACAGGTCAATAACTATAGCGGTTCTGAGGCCGGAAATGGGCCGGAAATGGCCCGGGATAACTCCGAGGTCCGGAGCCGAGTACTGGCCTGTAGTACACACTGGGAGTGGGACGTCGGTGAAGCTATTAGCAACACCCTTCACACACTGTTGGTGTCCCCGGGAATATAATGGCAAGAGTGCAAGATTGGGATGAGCAGCCTAAATGGGGTTCCTGATGATCCGGGAGTCCGGAAGCAAAGGGTAAAGAAGATATTAAAGACTGGGATAGGATGGTATACTTGATTTCAAGCTTGACTACAACGTACAAAGTATTCTAGCTTATATACATCCCAGATACAGTCAGAAGACCTCGATGAAAGCTCGGAATAATAAATAGAATGTAGGTCACAAGGTTATTAATCCGAAGTCGGGCCGCTCCGGGCCGGGCCGGGGAGCGTATTGGGTGAATTGCATGCATATGACACGGGCCTCCATTCCGCCGCTTGGTATTCCGAAGATCTACCTTTATTGTAATCTCTCCTTATTGTTCTTTCTCGCTACACATACCCTTTCGTTCTAGTCCCTCC